TTTTTTTTCATAAACATATTTTCTATCAAGACAGGTATGGAGACTCCACGTTTACTACTCGTAATTACCTCTTAACCCCATTCAAGTCGATGCTTCATTTTTCTCTTGCAACTTAAACATTTTGGCGCTGTTCTTTTTATGGAGAAGCCTACAGCTTCTAGTAAAAACATTTCTGGACTCTGAAGCTTGAAGGCTTGGTAGGAGTTTCATACCTGTGACTGTAGTGCAAACACTTACCGCATGTACATGGATGACAATAACCAGATAGGCGATATAGGTTAATCCCAGACTGGGAAAACACAAATACCACTCCAAAGCAGACAAAGTTGGTGCTCCCAACTTTGTAAAATCATACGACCATCCGACACCTATTAAAAAGAAATTCTGCGTGCTACAGCCCCACAGCCATACACCAATCGAATACAACCATCCAGTTACCATGAGAGCCTTAAGCATCCTCATGAATCTGCCAAGTAGGCCAAGTTTATGAACTGCAAACTCACTTTAAGTGCACTGGGAAAGTTTTTTGGAGAAATAATCTCTTGTATTACTAATATTCTACTGATGGACAGAACACTCATAACAGGAAACATTGCCAACCATAAAGAATTCGCTGTGCAACCACTTATCTTGAAAGTCATTTTTAATGTAGGTTCAATTCAAATCATGGGTATTTAAATAAGCTTACTCGAACTAAGAGTTGATATTGCTTTTGTATTTGAGGAAATATGATGTAGATGCCGGAAAGTGTATGGAATATAACCTGACCAAAATCAGCCAGATTTATCTGATTCATTAGCCGATATTGCGGATTGGACGTGATCTCCTTGTCAGTAAGCATCACCTACAAATTGATTATATAGTAAAATAGCTTTTATTTGTAAGAAGGTATTCCACTTTTTTGGCGTCAAAAGAATGATTTTAGTGATCAAATACTTACGTAGAGAACAATAATGTATAGTGGTACGATACATACTGCTATTCCTGAGTAAATAAAACCGATGGTAACTTCTTCAGGGTCGGGATTCCA